GGACCCCACCAAACGAAAGAACAAACCATGAAAGAGGACCATATGGGACAAAAGAATCAGGAAATTCAGTTAGGGAATGTGAGAAAGGGTCTGCCTGGAGGATGAGAAGATCCCAGAGTGGGAGCGTCTTGTACTGTGGCCAGCCGTGGGGGGGGCCTACAGACAGGCTGAATGCTGTCATCAACCACTTCCTTGGGGACTGTTACTTTGGTTTTAACTTGAAGACAGTGTATCTGGGTTTCATATTATTTTCTTAATTTGGCTGGAATTGACCATCTATAGATGAATTTCTTCCTTCTTTTCTACTCAGATCTGCTGAGGACATTCATGCTACCCCATGTCATTTTTGTGTTTTTGTTTACTTCTGAGGGCTAGAGGGTGAGGGTGAAGGCCAATGTGGAATTAGAAGTATGAAGTACTGAGTGCATTGAACAAACGGTTTTCCTGCCTGATGCCCCAGCTGTAGCAAGCTCTCTGTTTGGGGGGACTCACTGATTTTTCTTGGCCCTATGAAGCTGAAATGAGACTGTGACCTGGCAATGAGCTCCTGTTCAGCTTTTTTCATCTAAAGTTGGTGACATTGGGCTGGGGTATAGCTCAGTGATAGAGTGCCTGGCTAGCATGCAGAAGGCCCTGGGTTGAATCCCCAGCACCACCACTACCACCACCACCACCACCACCACCACACACATACACACACACACACACACACACACACGCTGGTTTTGCTTGTTCCACACATGACTAGGGTTGTGCTGGTTACTGAGTCTTTTTTTAATTTTAATTTTTGTTGTTGTTGTTGTGGCAATGGGGATTGAACTCAGGGCCTCAGGCATGCCAGGCAAGTGCTCTACCATTAAGCTGCACCCCCAGCCCTTTTATTTTTATTTTGAGACAGGGTCTCACTAAGTTGGCCAGGCTGGCCTTGAACTTGGGATCCTCTTGATTCAACCTGTAGAGCAGCTGGGATTACAGGTGTGCACCAGCATGCCTTCTACAAAATGAAACAACATATTGTTTAGGGTTATGTACATTTGTGCTACAGTTATTTATTTATTTATTTATTTATTTATTTATTTTAAACCCAAGGGAGTGAGGGAGAGCAGGATGTAATTATAGAGGGGCACATAGTGGAATTTAAAGTGATTTGTGATGTATTTCTTAACCTAGCTGGTGGGTACATTATTATTTATTATTTAAAGTATATGTATATGTTTTATAAACTCTCTTCTATGTATCATTTATATTATAATAAAATGTTTGAGATAGAAATGGATCTAAAATTGCCCAGTAGATGGGGATTCCTGGGGCAGATGTTTGAGTGATGTCAAGCCCCAGGTGGAAGACCTAAGGTAGAATTATTTTGATTCTGTTAGAGGAGGAACCTCCTCATTACTTAAGCATTAAATTCTCCTAGGAAGCTCTTTTCTGACTTGCAGGGGCCTGTTCCTCAGTGTTGAGTCATGGGAAACATCAAGAAAGCTGTGGTTAGTTCTTTACCAACTGCCGGGCTGCTCTAATGTTCTCTGTCTTAATTCAGATATTACTGGGGAGAAAGCCCCTAATTATAGTCAGTTACTGACTCATAACCATACTTTGCTCATGGTTATTTCCTCTAAGAAAAAATACGTGGTATTTTTACCTAATGGGTGTGTGCGTGTGTGTTATTTATTATCTCATCAGAATGTCTTTATATGACCTCTAGCTGTAGGTTTGAGGCTTCCTAGGAGCTCTTGAAGTTAGCTCCAGCTGTGTACATGGCTGTTAGATTGCTTTAGTAGACACACCCAGCATGTGGGTGTGGCCTTGAAATACCCAGCTCTTTGGGGTGTTATTTCACACTATGATTGGTAGTAACTGAGCAGAGTCTGGCAGCTGACCTCCTCCTTTGAACGAGTCAGGACTCCTTAGGTTACAAGTATCAGAAACCTAATTCATGGATTTAAATACAAAGATTTATAAGCACACTTAACTGCATAGCACTGAAGGAGATTCAGGTATAGCTGGATCCAGATGTCCCAATGAAATTATTGGAAGCTGTTTCTATCTGCTTTTCTTCTTTATTTGCCTCCTTTCAGGTGGGTTTTCCCCAACAGGGTGGCCTGGAGCAACTATAGACTTGAATTTTCCATGTTTAATAAACCCAGTCTAAAAAGAACTCTTTCTCAATAATTCCAGCAAAACTTGAGGGCTTTTGTTGGTCCAGTCAGGGTTGGTGAACACCCCAGAAGCAATCACATTAGCTAGGTTGACAGAGTAGTCTCAACAGCAGAACATACATGCCCACCTTGTTCCTGGGGAAGGACTGAGAAAGCAAAGTAGCTTTCACTATAATAGCTGTTTGTTCATAAAAATGATTCTAGGGTTAATTCTGAATAACAAAGTATTGAATAGAGGCATGTTTGAAATGATATATTTTAGGTCTAACTTATGAACTATCATTATCTTCTGACCAGCCATTTTTTGTGATTATCCATACTTAATGAAAACATGCTTTAAAAAGTACAGGTTTCTAACTCAAACAAATAAAGCATCTTTTTATTTTCATTTTTATTTTTTTGGTACCATGGATTGAACCCAGGGGCACTCAACTACTCAGCCATATATCTCCAGCCCTTTTTTTATTTTGAGTCAGGGTCTTGATAAGTTGCTTAGGGTCTTGCTAAGTTGCTGAGGCTGGCCTTGAACTTGTGATCCTTCTGCCTTAGCTTCCTTAATTGCTGGGATTACAGGCATGTGTGCTACCATGCCTGGCATATTTTAATAAAGCAATTAGACAACAATAGAACTCTCATATTTCTGCTGCCATTTTTTTGTTTGTTCATTTGTCTGTTTTTGTTTTTGTGGTACTGTAAGTTGAACCCAGGGCCTCTACATGCTGGGCAAGTGCTCTATTACTGAGCCACAGCCCTCCCTCATGTTTTTATATTCTATGGAAGAAAAACTCAACCCCAGTGGGCTGCTGCTTCTGTTAGAGCATGATTTGGTCTAAGTTGGGGCAAACCGTTCAGTTGCATTCATTAAAAGCTCATGGAAAGTTTTGGTTTTTAGAACAAGAACTTCACATTCAATTTTCTTCCCGAAGGGATTTCTAACACAATACCTAGAAAAAGAATAACATGTTTTTAGGTCTAAGGAGTGTGTTCCATAGCTCCCTTACTAGGTAGAGACTACCATTTCTGACTTCATATTTCCCATATTTCCCTGACTCTATGGTAGATCTTATTCACTTTCATTGCACAGGCTGCAGGGTGTATTTTGGAGATGTACTGCTTGGTTTTTAATCCTGGCCCTGCCCTTTGTTGACTCTGTGACTCTGTCAGAGAGTTAGTCACTCTGAGGCCCTCTGTGCTTGCATTTCCTCATCTGTGCAAACCTCTCTTCATCACATAGCCTACACAAACTGCTGAGGACAGTGCCTGGCACACAGTAAGCCCTTTATAAGTATTTGCTACCATTATTGTTATTTTAAAAGCTCTCAAAGCTCATAACCACCGGCCTGTTGTACTTCTGCTTCAGATGGAAGCTTGGAGGGCAGAGGGCAGATGCCTGAAGCTAAGCAGCTTATTAAAAGTAGAATAGAAATAGATGAGAGGAAGCCAAAGCACTTTTCTCTTTAGATAGTTATCAAACCACGCTTCGCTGCAGACTATGGGCTTGGGTATGGCCAGAGATCAAAGGCCCTCTTATGTGCAGTGACATTTCTGAGCACAGGGCTGAGTTATAAACCTCTTGAATGGAAGGTTTTGGCACTTGGAACACAGCTTGGGATGGGTTTTTATAGAGGCGATTCATGGAACTGCTTATGCTGGGGAGAATCTAGACTGTTATGACTCATTCGTCTCTTTATTGCTCTGGACCAAGAACTGTTGTTTCCTTTTAAGTCCCTCTGTAGGAGCTGAGCCTCAGCCTAGGGCCAAGACAGCTTTTTCAGGAAGACAGTGTGGCTTCAGTGAGTGTGAACGGGAATACCCTTTGTTGGGCTCTGGGTCAAGCGTACTGGACAAGCAGAATAAGGATTTTATTTTACCAGGGAGTAGAATTTCTTTTGGAAACCAGAAGCATCCTTAAAGTCTTTGACTTCAGATAAGCTTTTCTTTTGTCTGTCTGCCATTTTTGTTCTCTGACAGCCCAAACTAAATTGGATTGTGTGTTAAGTAGAGGACAGACCAACTTTGCAAAGTGGTAGCGAGTGTGCCTGCGTGGCCGCATATGAACCCAGGGATAGCAGAAGAGGTCATTTGGAGTCCAAGTGGCCTGAAATCTTCTGGGCCTCCTGGAAAAAACTGTGGTGAGAACTTTGGGACTGGTGGTGATACCTAGTATGATTGGCAGACTTCCAGTGCTCCCTAATTCCTGGTACTTAGCCCTTTCGTACATTCTCCTTCCTATGTGTCTTACCAGCTTCTCAAGCATAGAGTACAGCAAAAGAAATGAGATGTAGGGTTGTGGCTGTGGCTCAGTGGCAGAGCACTTACCTAGCATGTGTGAGGTACTGGGTTTGATCCTTAGCACCGTATACAAAAATAAATAAAATAAAAGTATGCTGTCCATCTATACCTACAAAAAAAAAAAAAAAAAAAAAAAAAGAAATGGGATGCAACTTTTGCGATTCAGTCACAAAAGACTGTGATTTCTACCTCTCTAGGAAGCCCCTTTCTTCTTTTTAATTGTGGGTTACAATTGTATATAATAGGAGAATACTTTGTTACATATGTGTACATGCATGCACATAGCATAGTTCGGTCAGTTTCTTTCCCTAGTACTTTCCTGTCCCTCCTTGTCTCCCCCCCAATCCCTTTCCTTTACTCTACTGGAATCCCTTCTGTTTTCATGAGACTCCCCCCATATAATTTTTTTCCTTTTTCTCTCTCTAGCTTCCACGTATAAGAAAAAACATGACCCTTGACTTTCTGAGTCTGGCTTATTTTGCTTCCTGAAATGCTTTCAAATTCCATCCATTTTCTAGCAAATGACAAAATTTTTGTTCTTCTTTTTAGATGGATAAAATTCCATTGTCGGAATCTCTCTCTCTCACTGCCACTGTCTCATCCCCTTTCTTGCCTTCTTGACCTGTGTGCTTGGATGAAGCTGGCTGCCATGTTGGAGAGACCAGAGTGGCACAGAGCCAAGGTGACTTCCTGTTCACCATACAACAAAGACCCGTTACTCTTAGCCCACCAACTTGTGAGGAACTGAGTCCTGTTAACAGCCACAGGTGAGTCTGGAACTGCAACCAGCCTGCCCCTGTTGGACTTTCAGTTGATTGGAGCCCTGGTTGTCATCTTGTTTTCTGTCCTGGGAGAAGTTCTGAAATAGAGGACTGAGTGTCTGAATGCCCGATCCCTCAAAAACATGGGACAAAAACATACTATATTAGTGTGTTGTCCTTATCTGCTAAGTTTGGGGGCGATTTTCACTGTAGCACTAGATAACTAAAATGCTAGGTCAATGAAATTTATAGTCTTAAAGACTGCTCAAAAACTCCAGGGTTTTGGATACTCCTAATGATTGTACTTACGCAGTATCAGAGCATTCAGAATCCAAGGTAGCGGTGATGGTTGGTCTCTGAGGGACACAAGCTATGTTGGTTAAGGTCTCCAATGCAGTGTCTGGCAAGAGCTTTAGAGAAGAATGCTAGAATTAAGGGATCCAGGATTTCTTTGGGAATCCTAATGAGGTAGAGGTCATTGCTGGGAGAAAAATCTCTCTCCTTGGTAAACAGGAGCAGAAAGTATTAAGTGTGGGGAGAGAAAGAGAGAGAAGGAAGTTCACATCTTTATTAATTGGCAAATTTGGTTTTAGACTAGGGCTACCATATGCTCAGGAGATGAACTACAAAGAAAGATGAAAACAGCAGAGAGAGGTACTATGGAAACATCAAATGATGAAGGATTCCACCAAGCACCCAGAAGAAATGAGATACCAGTGCCAACAGAGCAGGAAAATCATACTTCAGTAGAACAAATAGAAATGTAAATGAATAATGCTCAATGTGAAAATTTTAAAAGACGTGGACAAAGACAAAAGAAAAAAACACAAAATCCCATTATCCAGAGAGAACCATTGTTAATACATTTAAAAAGATTTCTCTTCTTCAATGCATATTTTTATATATAGTTTATATTTTTATAGTACATGCAATTTCACTTTAATTAAAATTTAAGTTATGAAATAATTCAAACACAAAAAATAAGTTGTCACCAAGTATAACAGTCTAGATTGTTTGATGCAGATCCCTCTTCATCCCATGCAATACCATCAGCTTAGACAACAAAGACTTTTGTTTTTTTCTATCACATAAAATCCATCTGTAGGTTGTCCATCCAGAGCTGGTTTGGCATTTCTGCAGTATCATCATTATAAACACAACTTTCAGTTCTTTGTTCTGCCATCTTGGGTTGTCTTTGTGTTTCCAAGATGGTTGTTGGAGCTCCAGAAATCAGATCCACATGGTATATCATAGGAATGACTTACTCTTTAAAAAGACTTAGAGGAAGTTTTAGGCAACACTCTCTACCACATCTTATTGGCTCAAATTTAGTCATATGTTCACATGTCATTGCAGAGTGATAGGAAATGAAATCTTTTATTCAAGATGATGATGTTCCCAGCTAAAAAAGATTCTTTGCCATGCTGTGGAATCACCAGCCAGATTTAACATATGAAATCACTTGGTTAATGTTGGTCTCTTTAAAACAATTTAAATTAAGAAATGAAAAACTAAAGATATAGGTAGATTCCACTTTCACTGGATGTAGGAAGTTGAAAAGTACCATTTTCAACTTAATAAGAAAATCCAGATAAACCATAATTGTAACTTTTCTTGAAGTCATCAGAGCCTTGGGGATGGAGGGTAACTAAGATGCCTATAATCCAAGGAAAGATAGGCCTACTAAGGAGAAAGGACATAGATATGGCTCCCCTTGTGTTAGTTACAGGAGGGAGAAACACTGGATACCATATTAGTAGGTGAAAGAAGTCAACTAAATTTTCATATATATATATATATATGAAAACTTCATATATACATATTATAAAATTTAGTTGACTATTCTATACACACTGTGCACCATCTAATAAAAATCACTGTATATATATATATATATATATATATATACACACAATTCCTTTATTTTTATGTGGTACTGAGCTACAACCCTAGCCCTCAACTAAATTTTTAATGAATAAGGGCAACTGTTGACTTTATAGAAATCTGAGCTCTCCAAGACACAAGGGGAATTAATCTAATCCTCTCATGCAAATTATAATGCAAACAAAAAAAAGTACATGTATAAAGACATGAATTGGCGTGAACATACGTGAACATACTTTATATAAAAGATACGAAAAATTATGCTCTATATGTGTAATAAGAATTGTAATGCATTCTGCTGTTGTGTATTTAAAAAAATAAAATCAAGAAAAGAGCAGGGGTTTTTTTAAAAGTAAAGAATTTACAACCCTAAAAAAAAAAAAAAAGAATACAAGGGGAGTTCACATTCATTAGCGGTTTATTCTGCATGGACCCCTGTTGGGTGCTCACAAGAAAGACTGTGGTGACGAGGGAGACCTGAAGGAATTTCTCTTGGTGACCAAGACTTGCAGGAGGTAGGAGACCTTATCCCTTAGGATTTCCTTCCTGTGGAACAAAAGCAACTAGCAATGGAAGGAAAGCAGTAAACTGAGAGGCAGCACTAAAGGGAAGACCCTTTGTGGCTGGCAGAAGGGGGAAAAATACCCATCCTCTTTGCTTCAGGGAAATAATTATAAGCACAAATTCTATATTAGTGGCCTTTTGCTGGGAGGAAAAGGTCAGGAAACTAACTCCTGCGTAAGAACTTCTAGAGAGAATAGCCAGAGTTGACTGCCACGAGGAATAAGGGCAGGCTCACAAAGAAAGTCAGACCTCTGAGGCCCTGGCACATGGGGCTTGCCAGGACAACAGAGTCCCTCTCTCCACAACAGAGAATGCCCTCTTCCGTCCCCACCCCATGACAGCAGCTTACCACTGTGGAAGAGACAGGGCGTGGAAGGAAATCCTGTGTGATGCAGAAAGCTAAGTGCAGCACAGAAACACTGATAAAAGCCCTCCAGCATCCGCCCCCGCCCAAGCACAAGGTTACAGTAGAGGAATTTGAATTTACTGGTAACTATAGCAACAACAAAACTCAAACCCTCAGTTCCTGACTAGACCCATTCAATCTCATACACTGATGACCTAATAAGAGAAGACCTGTGCCCATTTCTAGCATAAATACTATTTATATCAGTTTACTATTCTATATACACTGTACACCATCCAATAAAAAATTACAATATATATACATAAGAAAAAAATTGTTAAAAAATGAACAAAATCAAACTACCCAGATGTTGGGACTATCAGGGAATTTAAAATGACTGTATTGATAAGTTGAAGGTTCTAGTGGAAAAATTTTAGATAGCATGCATGAACTGATAGGGGATTTCAGTAGAGAAATGGAAGATATTGGAATCAAATGGAATTGCTAGAAATGAAAAGCGAGGTAACAGAGATGAAGAATTAACAGATCAGGAAAACTTAAATTACTGAGGAAAGAATAAATGAACTTGAGAAAGAGCATTAGAAATGACCCAACCCCCAAAACACAAAGAATTAACAGAAAAGAAAAAACCTGAGAGCACCCAAAAGCTATAGAACAGTATCAAATGGTCCAAAATACATGTAATGGGAATTACAGAAGGGAAAGAGAAAAACTGAGGTCAAAGATATACACAATTACTCCTCTCTCCATTTTTCTTTCTTTTCTTTTTTTCCAAAGTAAGCATTTATCCTGAAGTTAGTGAGTATAACTTCTGGGAATTTAAAATGACTGTGGCCTTTTGCTGGGAGGGAAAGTTCAGGAAACTAATTCCTGCGTATGACCTTCTAGAGAGAATAGCCAGAGTTTGACTGACACGAGGAACAAGGGCAGGCTCACAAAGAAAGGGAGGGAAAGGTCAGGAAACTAACTCCCGTATAATTTCTATTCTGTTTTAATATACCTAAATTCACAGATATTATGAATAAGTGTTTAGCTTTAGATCTGAATATCTGAAATAATGTATTGGTATTGTTTTTGTCTTTAAATGTATATACATGGCAGTCTATTACCTTTTTTTGCTTTTACTTTATAAATTAAAAGTTAAAAGTCATTGATTTTTTTAAACTGGTGCATTGTTTCCCATTACATAGTTTAATAATTTCCAAAATTATGGAAAAAATTGGTTTACCATTATAAACAGTGCTGCAATAAACATTTATAGGTGGTATCTTGTGAATCTGTGAGTTTCACACTCCATTCCTCAGTGCATAATTCTGAGTTGAGGAAAACAGTTTTAAACATTACTAAGTATTGCCAAATTGTTCATTAAAGTGGTTGAACTGATTTATACCTCAACAAGTGGTAAATAATAATTTCTTATAATAATCCCCTATCAGTTCATGCATGTTATCTAACATTTTGTATACATTTTGTATTATCAGACTCTTGCCAAGTTATGGATGTAAAATTAAATTTTGTCATTGTCTTAATTTGCATTTCCCTAAATATCTTTTCATATGTTAATTGGTTGCTTTTGTTTGTTTCTGTTTTAAATTGGTTATTTCTGTTTGTATAAATTCCCGGATCATAGTCTTTCTCCATGTGTGGCAGGGTTGTTTAGTCATTTTCTTATTATTCTGTAAGATTTCTTTTCTTAGTTGATTCATCTTTGTGGATTATGTGCTTATCCGTAGCTGGTTATTTTTGTTATGGGCTTTTTTTTAAAGGCAGAGATTATAATTTTAATTTGCTAAAATTTAATAATTGTTCCCCTTATGGTTTGTATTTTTTTTGTGCCTTATGCAGTACTTTCCTACTATACCATTATAAAATTACATTCTCTTATATTTTCTTTTTTTTTTCTCTAGTAATGAGGACTGAACTGAGGAGTATTTTATCACTGAGCTTTATTCACATGCCTGGCCCTCTTTATTTTTCATTTTGAGTCCGGGTCTTGCTAAGTTGTCAAGGCTGGCCTCAAACTTGCCATCCTCCTTGCCTCAGCCTCCAGAGTTACTGGGATTACAGGGGTGCACCACCATGCTTGACGATTGTCTTATACTTTCTTCTAAAAGTGCTAGAAATATTGATTTTATATTTGCAATGTGGGATATGTGAAGTAGGGTCTAATTTGACATTTTTTTTTCATGAA